TGAAAACTGTTGCTGCATCAGAAAACTCCACCACAAAGTGGCCATCAAACAGGTCAGACCCAGGGCCACCAGGTGCCCAGGCTCCATCCCACATTCCCTGCCCTCCAGGCATTGCTTCCCCTTCCCTTCCTTGCTCCTATCACCCTACAGCTCCTGCAGTCACATTATTCCATTCCTGGAGGAAAACAGAAGCCAAGTAGCTCATCCATCACTGCTGTGACTCTGCAGGGACATCCCAAGGGGTAAGAATTATCCTCCCAATTGGGCTGGGAGTCCACATATCCCATACAAAATGGCCTTCAAGGGAGGGATACCTAATTACACCTCATGGGGGTCACACCTGGGGAAAAACTAGCCAAGGAAAAGGGGAAACTAGCCAAGGAAGAGGGGAAACTAGCCAAGGAAGGGAGAAGCTAGCCAAGAAAAAGAGGAAACTAGTCAAGGAAGGTGTCAGATCAATGGTGATCTGATGAAGAGCACTATATAAGAGTCTTCAGTCTCAAGATGTTCTGCAGTGACTTTGCTTTCTCCAAGTGCAGAAGTGATCGAGATAATCTGCAGAATGAGCTGCTAAGAACTGATGTGGCTAATGAACACAAGTGAAGTGGCTAATGAGCACAAGCAGCTATTGCAGAACAGGAACCATGAAGACCTCTCTAAGCCCTGAGGCACTTCTAGTCATCCCTGTGTTGGCATGAAGGAAAACCAACACCTCATCTGTCCAAGGTCTGGTCTGCCAAGCTTGTCTCGTTCAGTCACACACACCCAGGCAGCACAGAGTACAACTCAGGGAGAGATCCCTAAGGAATTGCCTTTGGCAGGTTTAAAGTCACACCAGGACTGGACCATGCACACCCAGACACAACCACAGGCACACACAAACCAAGAAGGGGTCAGGGCAGCAGAGCAGAGTGTTTGCCTGGATATTCTCTCTCTACACACACAGCTCTGGGAAGAGGACAGGACACCACCAGGGAGGGAACAGCACTTACAGAGTTATCCTACAGGTCATTTCAAATCACTCTTCCATATAGTTAAAGCAGGGAGACCTCAGAGGCACCAACATGGCTCAAAGCAGAGGAATAAGCACTTTAAGTCCATGTTTCCTCGGTCCTTAAAGCTGCACCAGCTTTAATGGACACGTGGAAACCAAACTGAGCCTTTCTGAAGGGCCAAGCCCATCTTAGCTGCTTAGAGCCCAACCAGGCTCCACAGTTCTCCCAGTGCAGCTCCCTCAGCACACTTGACTTTCCTCCCAAGTTTATCTTTCCAGCCCCACAATGGGAAGTGGCTGCAAGGAAAGCATCAGCCAAGATTAATGTAGGAATAAATTCACATTTCTGGCTGAAGGACTCTTGGTGGAGTTAAATTTGATTTCTCTCATGAGCTGGGAAAGCAACAGTGACCTTTAGAGGTTCAAGTGCCTGATTAAAGCCCAGACCTCTGCCTTGCACTGGTTTCTGGCACTCTTAAGAGATTATGAAGGTAAAAATTGAGCTGAGAGGGAGAAGTTGTAGCTATGGGACTGAAAAGCACTGAGGAACCAATGAAATTTGGATGGGATACACTTCAGACACATTGGTTTGGACATCCAACAGCTCTGTCAGCTGCTCCAAATTCGGCTATTCCAGGCAGCCTCATCACCCCAGCAGCTCCCTGACCTGCTAGCACAGCTACTGACACACAGAGAGACACACACTCCAAGAGATTGCCCTGTCAAAGCCTCCAGCAGCAGTTTATTCCAACTTCACAACGTTGCTCGTTGATTTTCATTACTTACCAAGTTATACCAACACTACATTCAATGTACTCGGACTGTGACCAACCTACCTGTGAGAGCAGCAGCAGTCAGGTTCCTTTTCAGCATGTCATACACTGGGCTGTGGGTAAGGAGGTGACAGGTGAGTGTCCTACCCTTCTAACCCAGGGACAGAAATGTCCTCTTGTTATCCAGACAGACACTGGAAACCACAGAGAGGGGTTTTAGCCACTGTTACAAAGTCTAGCTGAGAATTTCACCACAGATTTTGACTTAAGTGTGAGCTCAAGAGCTTGGGGAGATGCAGAGGTAAAAGGGAAGCTGCAGAGGGACTCTGTGCTAGGAACTGCAGTGACAGGACAAGGGGCAATGGGAAGAAATTGAAAGGGAAATTTAGATATTAGACAGAAGTGTTTCCTGTGAGGGTGGTGAGACACTGGCACAGGTTGCCCAGGGAGGCTGTGACTGCCCTGCCCCTGCCCCAACCCTGGCAGTGCTTCATTCCAGGTTGGATAAATCCTTGAGCAACCTGCTCTGGTGGCAGGTGTCCCTGCCCAGGACAGGGGTTTGGGGCTGGATACTCTCTAAGCTCCATTCCAACCCCTTCACACACTATGAAACCATTGCCTGGACCATTCAACCCCCCAGAGGAGCTCAGGAAGGTTTATGTGACAGTGAACACCCACAGTGACACCAACTCTCCTATCTTGGCACTCTCTCTAATCCAACCCAGGGTTAAAGGTGACTTTTTCCTACCTTGGATCTTTCACAGAGAAGCTCTCCAGTCCCAGCAGCTCTCCCAGCTCATCTCCTCCACAGTAGACCATGTGCTGCTGCCTCTTGTCGTAGAGCTGCCTCAGCATGATGTACTGCCCGAGGTAGTGCATCACCTGGGGGAGCAGAACATGCCATGAGCCCAAACCCCCTGGAAACGTGCCTGAATTTAGGACACTTCCCTCCTGCTGCCCTGTGGGGTGGGAGGCAAATCAGACCTGATTTGGGGCACAACACAACCTCCCAGCCAAGGGAGGGTTATGGTTCATGGTATTGCTGTAAGGTTGGTAACTAGGAATCCTGGGCAGGAAGGAAAACTGAGGCAAAGGTGGAAAACCAGCAGTGTCCCAATCCCAAAGGCTGATCACACTTCCAGGGTTGGCCCCAGGACACAGCTTGCAAGAGGCCAAATGAACTCCACCAGTAGCACAAAGAAAGATGGAGAGGAAACATCCTCCAGCCACAGTGAGGAACCCAAGCAGTGGAATTCCTCTGGAATCTCCAGAGGAGAAAGTAAAATGCACTAAGCACAGTACAGGCAGATTCCACCTCCCAGAGTGACCCTCTTGAACCCTGAGTGGCCCCAAAAAGCTGCCAAGAGACCTCCACTCTCTGCAGGTAAACCTGACTGAGCTGAGGTTGGTGTTGCTCCACAGAGGTAACCTGCACTTAACACTCAGCTCTGCCCATCTGCACCATTCAATTTGGGCTTGCAAAAAAATCTGGGGAGCTAAATAAGTTATTTAAATGCATAAGTGTTTGAGAGAAGTCACAGGGCTCTGCAGGAAGCTTTGACACCCAGAATAAACCCACTGCAGCGAGCTCCTTGCAGCCAGGATCCTCCTGTAAATCACAGTGTCAGGTTTGAATCTGGTACACAGATTGCATTTTAATCTTCCAGAATGGAACACGCAGAGTCTCAGGTCGAGCTGACAAATCATTTCAAGGGGATGTTAAAAAATAGCAACTGGAAGCCAATTTTTAAGGCTTTGGTGCACAGAGCAAAGAGCAAGAGAATGAACAGGATGTCCTACAGCCTCTTAGGAATGTGGTTATCCTTTTCTCCTTTCCCCACAGAGGTTTGTGATTTTCCAGGATGAATCATTTAATACTTCACACTCCTATTAGAATGTCTCATGGGGCTCTTAAGACACTTTATGATCCATCAAGCCACAACATCCCTATGGTTTAAGGACTTCAAAGCACATAAAAACTAAGAGCCATTCCCATCCCATCTCCCAAACCACCAGAGACAGACACAGGGGCAGTGCCTGGAGTCTGAGCTCACCTCCTTCAGGGTGAAGGTGTCACCTTGGGCACCTGCAGCCTGCAGGATCCTCAGCAGAGGCAGTTTGGGTCGCACCTGAAGCAGAGCAGAGTTGTGTTTGAGTGGCAGAAGCAAGTCAAAGAGCCAAGCAATGTGGGCAGCCAGCTGGAAAGGCTTTCACCACTCACTGTCCCATGAGCTTTGGTGCCACTCAGCCTGGGAGGGAGGCTGGACACTCAGAGCCTTGGGGTGGAGGTCTGGGCAGTGA